ACACATTCCATCTTCACACCAGACCTTGGGTTAAACACAAAATTTAAAATTTTAATTTAAACCCAAAACTTTAAATTTTATAAAATTTTTATTATTCAAAAATTTGACCCTTCGTGGGGGAGGTACTGGATTGACTGGACTGATATTGTCCATTTTCGCACCTGACATAGCACTAATACAAATATTAGGATATGCAAAGTTGGATCAAAATCGGATCATCCTTTCTTTTTCTGTGAAGTAAAATATTTTTTTTTTAACATTTTGACATTTTTTGGGGGATATAACTTTGACAATAATATTACGATGTACCAAGTTTGGATCAAATCGGATACTCCCTTCGAGAGTTATCGTTCTGATCAGCCAGACAGACAGACAGACGGACGGACCGACATCGCTAGATCGACTCCAAATGACCTGAAACGGATTTGGTTCAAAGAGACCTAGGGTCTAAAATCGTTATTTCGTTGAGGCATGTTTTGGTATATATCAATTATTTATACCCTCTGTAGCCATATGGCTGAGGATATAAAAATTAAAATAATTATAGCATAGTATTGGTGTTTTCCTTTTCCATTAATAGTCTTGTGACATATACACCGAGATTCTTAATGGCTACAGGGGGAATATATCATTTGAGACGGCCAAACCGTTCCTAATCGAAATAACGTGTTTACACCCTAAGTCTCTTTGGACGACCTACGTTTCAAGACATTTGGCAAGGCATTTGTCGATCTAGCGGCGTTCTTACCTCTGTCTGTCTGTCTGGTTGGCAGGGGTATTCGATTTCGTCCAAACTTTGTACATCGCTATGTTATTAAACTTATATAGAGTTCGGAGATGGACATATCGGTTCACTCATTCATGCTAGTTATACCAACCAGAGATCTGATATTAATATAGAATTTATCGGCCCTTTTCTGGTACCTTCCCCGCAAGAGGTAAACATTTGGAGTAATTATAACCCTTATACTTGCGAAAAAGCCAGCGATTTTTTTTTCAATCAACAATAGATTTAATGTAAAAATGGGATATGTCGGTCCACTCTTTCTGATAACTCCCACAAAAGGTTAACAGTTTGTTTAACAATTATTCGCATAAACAATTGTCGGAAAGAATTGTCTTTGTTGAATTTGACAAAAAATCTTTTTCGACTTCATTCTTCTAAAATTATATTTTTAGGAGAATTTTGCATAAACTTGATCAGAGTAAAATTCTGAGACGATTTAGCCCTATCCGACGAATAAAAATAGGAAGCTAAAATTTTGCACCGGTCTGTCTTTTGTCTGCAGGCAGTTCAATTTCAACGATGGGCTATATCGGACTTCGATATCGTAAATCCCCCATATAACGGTACCCCCGAAATTCGGTATTTGCATGATTTTAACCACATTTTTCAATGGAATTGTCTGAAATTATACACAAGGAGTTCTTCGTGACTACTTTACCCCCTGAAAATAAATTGTCTATATAGGTTCACGATATTGTATATCCCCCATATAACTGTACCTCCCGACTTTCGGTATTTTAATGATTATAGTCACATTTTTCAATGGCATTGTCTAAAATTCTAGTTCTCTGTGAGTACCCTCCCCCCTGAAAGAGAATTTTTTATATAGGTCCACAATATCGTATAGCCCCAATACAATGGAGCCCCCCGATCGGTACATTGATGATTTTCAATGGAATAGCCTGAAAATTCACACTGTGAGTACTTTACCCCCTGGAAGAGAATTGCCTATATAGGTCTACGTCTAACGCTACCCCGAGATATTCGATATTTCCAGGATTTTTGCGACATTATTCACCTGAATTGCGTCAAATTTCTTGTTTGAAGTTCGTAATGGGTACTACAACGTATGAGGGAAAATTGTCTATGCAGGTTCACATTTCGTAGCTCCCATACAACAGTACCTTACTTTATTCGGTATTTTGATGATATTAGCGACATTATCGTTACTACAGCCTATGACAAAAAAATACCTATCCAGCACCACGTCATTGTATAGCCTTCCATATAAAGGTTTTCATTTGTGCGGTATTTTTCGAATGTTTTTTTTTTTTTTTTTTTTTTTTTTTGAAAATTTTCAATTTCCGTTTTAAGAGAATTTTAACACTTAATAGTACCTAAAATGTTGAAATGTCGTCCTATGGAACGAGGTTCATAGGAACGAGGTTCCAAACTCCTCTCTTTCGTTTTCCACCGTTTTTAATTAAACAAGCTGTAGGCTTTATAGATTTAATTAATAATTATAAAATACCTGATTAAGTAAATATTATTTGTTCCCAAATTAAAGAAAATTGTCTCTCAAAAGTTCTGAAACTATTGAAATCAAATATTCCAAATGATTATTGGTGGAATTCTTTAAAATACGACTGGCATTTTGCTCTGATTACGAGTGCAATAAATGTGAAGTTTTAATTTTTTTAAAACAGTAGACTTTCCAAAAACCCAATCACGTTTTTCGAACATGGAGCCATAAAATGCTAAATACCAGTTTCAAACATTGACGTTGAAGCCGCACAGTGTATGGGAACGTATGAAAAAAAACTAAACAATCTAATTGTTTAGATAAATTTCATAATTAGTAAAAAAATAATTTAACCAAAAAATTCTGAAAATTTGTCCAAGTTTATTCCGACTCCACGTTTATAACGATTTAAATAAGTCTGAAGATTTTAAATATAGTTATAATTAAAATTTACTAAGAAAATGGACAATATCGGTCCACTCCACCAAGTACTTCCACCAAAAAAGGTCAAGATTTTGACTTCTTCTGGTACCTCACCCAAAACGGATCAAAATTCTGAATATCCAAAAAGCTCATAAAACACGAAACTAACATCAGGATTCCATTCCAATCAGATTCCATTGGCACATCTCAATATTTCTACCAACACAAGATGTGTCATAAAGATGGTACTGATCGGACCATTCCTTCTGGTACCTGCCCCACAAGGGGTCAAAGTTTTGAATATCCATGAAGCTCATTAAAGGCGCAATTAACATCTGATTCCATTCAGACTTGGTAGATCACAATATATCCATCAACACAAGATCTGTTATAAAGATGGTAGAGATCGGACAACGCCTTCTGGTACCTCCCCCACAACGGGTCAAATTTTTGAATAATTATATCTCTCATAAAATGTGAAATAAGCATCTGACCCTTTTAAAATTTCACACATCCCAATATTTCCACTAACACAAGGTATTGTGTGAAGATGGTGGATATCGGCCCTACCCTTGTGGTACCTCTCCCACAAACGATCACAAATGTTTTATACCCTACACCACAAGGTGGTCAGGGTATTATGTCTTTGTGCATTTGTTTGTAACAGGTAAAAGGAAACGAGATAGACCCATAGTTCCTTTTGGTGATCTGAGTCGATTTATGCATGTCCGTCCGTCCGTCAGTCCATGTATTTTTGTAAACATAGTACAGTTCGAATTTATTTGTCCTATCCAGATGAAATTTTGCACAAATCATTTGTTTGGCCCAAGGACGAACCCTATTGAAATTGGAGATAATCGGTCAAAATTTAGATATAGCTTCCATACATATCTTCGTCCGATTTGCCTTTTTTGTGCACCAAACGTGTAATATCAGTCCGAATAGTATGGAATTTTGCACGTACGATCATATTGGACCTGAAAAGAAGTATGCGAAATTTGATCGAAATCGGTTCAGATATAGCTATAGCTCCCATATATATTGTTCATCCGATTTGTTATTTTTGTCCTCCGCAGCCGTAATATGCACTCTGTAACAAGAATATTTGGAGAAATATATCAAATACAGCTTAAAAATACATTTGCTAAATTTTATCGAGATCGGTTCAGATTTGGATATAGCTCCCATATATAACTTCGAACGATTTACCTTTTATTGTGCACCAAACGTCTAATATTTGCCCAAATGGGATGAAATTTGGCACTTACGACCGAATTGAGTCTAGAAGCTAGTATGTCAAATTTGGTGAAGATCGGTTCAGATATAGCTATAGCTCCCATATATATACTGTTCATCCGATTTGTTATATTTGTTACCCACAGCCGTAATATGCACTCCGTAACAACGATATTCAGGGAAATATATCAAATAGAGCTCAGAAATATCTTTGCCAAATTTTATCGAGATCGGTTCCGCTTTGGATATAGCTCCCATATATATTTATATCCGATTTCAAATTAATTGTGGATAATACTAAAATCTCTCGTAATTTGCAAAACAAGTCAGCGATTCCATTAAAACCTGGTATACCTTAATTTTACCTCCACAAGATATGTATTGTGAATGAATTTTTTATATCAGACATATATCAAAGAAGAGTTGGACAACCTCCCCCATAACGGCTTAACATGATGAATAAGATATACGGATACCAAAATATATTTTCATAAACGGACAAAGGTATACATCCGTCGGCAAAATCCGACTGATACTTTGTAACTGATGTTTAATTATAGCTCCTCCTCAGAAGTTTCAGTAGCCACGCCACGCTTCAAACAACATAGAACATAGAAAACAATGGATTTCCCTTTTATGGAAAAGGAAGCTTAATAAAAAAAATCATCAAAAACAAACATGACTTTAGATGCAGACGAAGTACTGCGGAACCATTGTCTGTCATTTATATTTAGAATTAGAAATAAGGAAGCTTCTACCTCTACAAGAATAGAAGCGAACAACAACAAAGCTCTCACACACAAATTATTTCACGTTTCTGTGCAATGACAATTTAATTGCAACGATCGCCCAGTGTTTGAATACTGAGCTAAATACAAAATTTTATTGATTTCATATTGAAATTAAAAAAAAAAACAGCAACACCAGCAACAGTAACACAATTAAGAAATCGTCAATCAATACCACCAACCTCCTCCATTGACACCAACAACACGTCAATGAGTATTTATTCGATATGTTCGATTCGAGGCGAAGTGTTAACGGCGATGAGTTCGGAATTGTAATTATTGGCAGGCGTCTTCACTTTCATTGGCAGTAACAACAAACAACAAGAACAACACTAAATACAAGAGCAAACTATTTGTTTATTATAAGACTAACTTTACGAGGTCGAGGGGAGCTTCAACTGCAAGCCATGATGTCTTCTTGCTAATATGGCCATATACGGCGCAGCCGCAGTCGTCTTACCCGATTTACGTGCCAAGAATTTATGTTTGTCCAAAATTGTGTCTTCGCATTGCTCGCAAATGCGGTTGACTTGCCTTCAAATGTTTAAATGAATAAAATTAAAATTAATATTAAATACCCCCGAAAAAAAGTACGACTCTTCTTCGGCCGCCTTCGCTTAGAACAACAAAAACAATTTGGAAATTTAGTGCAACCATGAATTTGGTTTTTTTTTTTCGATAATAGCAACAACAACAGTTTTACTGCTGGCTTCTGTTGTGGTGTGACTTTATGCTGGAAAGAGGGGAGTAGAGGGGCGACACGTATAGCAGGTGAATAGTTTGAGGGTCGCTCATAAAGAATTCGTCAGGGGTATTATGTGTTGTCCATCGTACCTTCCATCCTCTGTCATGCATACGGATGGATTTCCCTTTCCGAAGCGAATCACCACAATACGTCTGCGGACCAATATAAATAGCCAAACGAATTTGGTAACGGTATGTCAGTTCAATTTTAAACAACCGACAGTGATAACAAACCCCCAAAAATAACCCAAGCCTAACAATGAAATCGTTCGCCGTAAGTATTCGAAGCTTGGGGGAGATAGCCCTCCTGAAAAGAAAGACTTTTTTCATGACGGTCCTTAACTTCCGATCTAGGTTGCCGCTGTTGCCTCTACTTTGGCTATCTCTGCTAATGCCGGTTTAGCTCCCGTAGCTGCTCCCTACACCACCTTCGCTGCTGCTCCCTATGCCGCCGCTCCCGTTGCTGCCGCTACCTATGCCGCTGCTCCCTATGCTGCTGCTCCTTACTATGCCGCCCCAGCTGCCTACTCAGCTCCCTTGGTAACCAAGACCTTCGCTGCTGCCCCAGCTTTTGCTGCTCCCGCCGCTGTCTACAGCGCTGCCCCAGCTCCCTATGTTGCTGCTCCCGTCGCTAAGACCTTTGCCGCCGCTCCCTTGGTTGCCAAGACCTTCGCTGCTGCCCCAGCCCCAGTTGTAGCCGCTGCCCCAGCTCCCGTTGTTGCTGCTGCCCCAGCCCCCGTTGTCGCCAAGGCTGTAGCTGCTCCTTTGGCTGCCCCCGTTGTTGCCAAGGCTGCCCTCGTTGAGCCCGAAGTTGTCGATGCTCATCCCCAATACCAATACGCCTACAATGTCCAAGACACTTTGACCGGTGACTCCAAGACCCAAGAAGAGACCCGTGATGGTGGTGTTGTCCGTGGCTCCTACTCCCTCATCGAACCCGATGGTTCTCGCCGTACCGTCAACTACTACGCCGATGATGTCAACGGTTTCAACGCTGTTGTCCAAAAGGATGTGCCCGTTGCTGCTGCGGCCCCCGTCGTTGCCGCCCCAGCTCCAGTCGTTGCCAAGACCGCCTTTGCCGCTCCCATTGTTGCCTAAACACAAGTTGCCACACTCCTCGCTTGACCAATAGTAGTGATAGAAGTGATGCACGCCATGGCACACCTCGTCAGACTCCACTCCAGTACCTTTAGGAAATTAACTCAAATTTTGCCACAACTATTTTTTTGTTTTATGTTTTGAATTTTTGTTCTTCTCTCTTCGGTTATCATCGTTCTATGCCATGCAGGGCTGCCACATATCCAGATCAGTTGAGTGCTCGGCATTGGGTGTTAGCCCGTCATTGCCATGGGCCCAGAGATTGAGTGCACTGAGACATTGTTGATTGCAGCGGTCGAACGGCTTTTCATTTGTAAATACTTACCCAAGTTGAATCATTGTCGTGTCGTTGTAAAATTACTTTCATCACCTATTATGACCAAGACATTGATAATTATTAAACAAATTGTTAAATAAATCTTTTTTATTACCAAAAAAAAACTTCAATACTTATTTTTTTCAAAACATGGGGGGATGTACATTACAAACAAAAAATTCCTAAAATGTTAATTAAAAAAATGTTTGATATGGCCATAAACAAAAATTAGAAAACATAATAACACGGCTCAGCACTAAACAAGTAAAAAAGCATTAAGTTCGGCCTGGCCGACCTTTGAACACCCTACACCATTTGGATCGAATTTGGAATTATTCACAAAAATAAAACCCGTTAGAAATTCTGTTAACATCTTAAAAATACCGAATATAGCCGTTATATTGGGGTGTATACGACGACATGGATCTCCATATGCACCTTTTGACATTCATTTTGTTTGTCACACAAATTTTAATAGAAATTCATTGATTCTTTTTTCGACAACGCAAAGAAACATACAGGGTGAGATAAAAAACTGCGACAGAGTTAAACTCCTTAATTTTTAATTTTTTTTAAATTTTATTGAATGAAAGAAAAATGTCTGAAATGCCCGAATGTTGTTCTGCGGTATTTTGGTCCATTCCCGGCGAAGCGCTTGCTCGTAGTGATCGACACTTTGACATTTTTTAGTGCCAATCTTGCTTTCCAAAATACTCCAGACACAATAGTACAACGGATTGGTATCCGGAGATTTTGGTGGCCATTGTGCGCTGGAAAAGAAGCGAGGAACCTGATTTTGTAACCATTCTTGGACGGCGCGTGCTTGAGTGCGATGGTGCTCAGTCCTGTTGGAATGTCCAAGGTCTGCGGCCAAAATATTGGTGTGCCCAAGGCTCTAATACACCCTCCAGAAAATTTTCAGCATTTTTGGGCCACTGCGACGCGGGTTTCGATCAAGTCGCTTCTTTATTTTTCGATCCATGTGCTGAAGTTGCTGTTTTCTTCCGTCCACTTTCTTGACGTCGGTCTACGCTACCAGTATCACGGTAACGAGCGATGGTACGACACACAAAAGGTTTATTCACATTTAAATGCTGGAGTGCTAACGATAGCCAACGACAGCTGTCGGGCGAGTGGCTTAGAAATGACAGCAGTCTGAAGTTGGTTGCATCTTTTTCATCTAAAGAAGGGGGTTAGTATTATGAGACCAGATATATGTCAAAGATACGAACTTTATGTGTGGCAATTTATTATTGGTTTTGGCTTAGACTCGTTCTGTCCTGAACACGAGGACCAAATATCCTGGCCAATTCTTACTTAGCTAAAGTTGAAGTTATTCTAGAGTCTAAGTCTGTCTAAATTAGACTCAACTCCGCTGTAATGGTTATAAAGTGTGTAAATTTAATTAAATTAATATTTATATAGATGGATACACATTTCATTACTTTTATACCCTCCACCATACTATGGAGGGTATATTAACTTTGTCATTCCGTTTGTAAGACAGAAAATTGTCTGTGCAGGTCCACGTCTTCGTATAGCCCCCATATAACTGTACCTCCCGATATTTGGTATTTTGATGATTTTAGCGACATTATTCACCAAAATTTTTTCAAATTACGCATTTAGAGTTCGTAATGGAAACTCCAGTCTGTGACAGAAATTGTCTATGCAGGTCCAGGTCTTCGTATAGGCCCTATATACCAGTACCTCCCTATATTCGGTATTTTGACGAGTTTAGGTACAATACTCACCGAAATTGATTGAAATGTCGTATTTGAAGTTCGTAATGGATGCTACAGAATATGACAAAAAATTGTCTACGTAGGTTCCGGTCTTCGCACAGCTCCGATATAACGGTACCTCCATGTATTCTATATTTTGATGATTTTAGCTACATTATTCACCGTTTATTTCAAGTTCCGAATTTGAATTTGATAATGACTTATGACAAATAATGCCTGTGTGGGTCCACGTCGTATAGGCACCAATATAACAGTAATATTCGGTATTTTTATTTAATTTTACCAAAGTTTTTTTCCAGGATTTTATTTCCAAATTCGATCCAAATGGTGGAGAGTATTCAAAGTTCGCCCCGGCCGAACTTACTGCTTTTTAACTTGTTTTATTTATTTATATATTATTATTTTTTTGTGAATTTTTTAGAAAACTAATATTTAACGCAAATTGTTTTATTTCAGAACACCAATAGAAGAATACTGGACTCTATCGAATCATGAAAATGTGGCACGAATGCGTCTAAAATTGGAACCCCAACTGTATCCAAATAAACATGAGAATGCATCAAAGTTGCGCGACAACGCCACAAATCATTACGATGCCAAGTAAGTGAAACATTACAAGAATTAGAGTTTTCAAAATTCCTTGTTATTTATTTCAATATAGTTAATTGTGATTGGCAACAAGTAAAATAGTATCACTCGGGTTTGCCGACAGATGTATACCCCCAGCCCTAAGTTATGATTATTTAAGCTGTTGACCATTTATGGAAGAAGTTCCGAATTCGTATCTGACCTACGACTGATAAAAATATTTCAGCGTGCCACACTTGGACTATATCAACTACTTTATAAAAGATATGTGAAAATTTTTGGAAAACGTGAAATTTTTTCCTGATGTAACAGAAGTATATCATTTTCATACCTCATCTAATACAGATAAAAATATTGGTGTATTCAAAATTTGAAGGAAATAGGACATTTGTAGGGGATGTATCAAACGAAATAGTCCGATCTCTACCATATGTATAACCTATTTTGTGTTGATGGAAATTTTGAGATGTACCAAGTCTGAATGAAATCGGATGTTAGTGTCTCGTTTTATGAGCTTCATTGTTACTCAAATTTTTGACCCTTTGTGGGGGAGGTACCAACAGGAGTAGGAAGTTATATGCCATCTTCACGGCCAATCTTGTGTTAGTAGTAGAGATCCGGATGCTTATTCCGGATTTTATGACAGTTTTTAGATATGCCAAGTCTAAATAGAATCGGATGTTAGTTTCGCGTTTTATGTGCTTAATGGATATTCAAAATTTCGACCCTCAAATTGTTTACCCTTTGTGGGGGAGGTACCAGAAGGAGTGTACCGATATATTCCATCTTTACACCAGACCTTGAATTTTTAAAAATGTTGGGATGTGTGAAATTTTAAGGCAATCGATGATGTAAGAATCACATTTTAAAAAAATTAAAATTATTCAAAATGTTGACCCTTTGTGGAGGGAGGCACTTCATGGAGTGGACCGATATTATCCATTTTTGCAATGTGATTTAAGAGTCCGGTTGTCTTCAAATTTCACACATCCCAATAATTTTGTTGACCCAATGTCTGGTATTAAGGTGGAATACATCGGTACACTCCTTCTGGTACCTCCTCCACAAGGGGTCAAGATCTGTTATAAAGATGGTAGAGATCGGACGACTTCTCCTGGTACCTCCCCCACATAGGGTTCAAAATTTTGAAAAACGCTTAAATAAAGCGAAATTAGCATCCAACTGAGAATTTATATGGAAATTTTGATTCCAGAAAAATTGTATATAAATGTTCGATTTTCTTGTTATTTTGCCCATACCAATATTTTTTCTTTATTATATGAAGTATGAAAATAGAATACAAAATTTTCTAAAAATCATCACATATCTCATAAAAAGTGAAGGAAGTAGTCGATATATTCCAAAACCTGCATTTCGCAATATTTATATCATATTTATTTTGGTCCGATACGAAATGGACAATATTTACCCATTCCTTAGGAACTTACTCCATAGAGGGTCAATAGTTTGAACAATCATAACAGAAGTCAAAACATATTTAAATAATCGAACATTGGCTAAGGGTATACACCTGTCGGCAAAACCGCCAAATACTTTTTTACTTGTTTTTTTTTTCACACTCTAAAATGAACTCTGTTGTAGCAGATTTATACTGTATGAAATATATATTGTGTACAATGCCATATGGTATACATATATTTATGTTACACTTATACTAAGAATTCATCAACATATGCTGTACAGAATTTCCTCTCAGACAACAAATAGTTCGAAGCGCCTTAAAGCGCCTTATGTTATAAAAATACTTTACATTAATGTATAAAAAGTAGTTTTACATATGACTACTGCTTTTTACTGAATATCGAAAATTCTCTCACAACACGTTACCGAGTAGCTATTACAGGAAAAATGTCGAACACATCTAATATTGCCTAATATTGATGGATTTCATTTCAATAAATGTCTGTAATTCGAATTTATTTTATACAAATTTAAAAATTACTAAACCGGTATATTTTTAATTACAGAGAGATGCCAGAATTTGATTCGACAATTAAAAATGTTGTTGTTCGTGATTTTCTCTCGAACGATGAAAACTCTCAACTGGAGGAGGATTTGCGACTCACAATCGAACAACAATCCCAACAGGATAATACCACAGAGAAGCTGGTTATATCACAGGAATGCGAACTGATAACACTGATGACCAAGGTTAAGGGACGCATTGAAGTCAATCAGACAATGTTCACATTTATCGATCTAAGTCCACCGGCTGAAGATGGTTCGAAGCATGATTTCAGGTATGTTATTGCGATTCAAAATGTCGCTTTTTAAATAGTAGCAAACGCAACGACCAACAATATTTCTCTTCTTTCTCTTTTAGATTTTCCATCCAAAAGATACGAGAAGTCCATTTGAGAAAATATAATTTAAGAAGAAGTGCTTTGGAAATCTTTTTAGTGGATCAAACTAGTTACTTTTTGAATTTTACCACAAAGGTAAGTTTTGGCAATATGAATTCAAGGAATTCAATAACAAAATAAATGGGGGCCTATTAATTTGGATTAATTTTCGTCCGTAATCAATATCGTAATCTACTCCAATAATGATCAATAATCTCTTTCTGAGTCGACTTTGAATGTCCATCAGGTCAAATCTATAGGCCGATTAAGATAGAAATTTACACAGGTCATTTGTTTGACACAAGGACTAACCCTATAGAAATAGGAGATAATCGGACAAAATGTATGTATAGCTTCCATATACAGGGTGAGATGAAAAAACTGTAACCAACTTCAGACTGCTGCAGACTGCAGCTCATTATATTGTTTACAAGCGTACAAGAGCATTTTGGTGAGAATTTTCCAGAAAAAAGTTATTCGTGATGGAATTCAAGCGTGATAGTGTGGTTTCTTTATATTTGGCTGGAAAAACACAAGTGCACTCCAGCATTTAAATGTGAATAAATCTTTTGTATCTCGATGGCCGCTCTCCGCCCGTATTAATCGACCGTGGCATCAGAATAAATGCCGAATATTATCGCGAAAATATTCTGAAGGGTGTATTAAAGCCTTGGGCAAGCAAACAATTTGGCTGCAGACCTTGGACATTCCAACAGGACTCAGCACCATCGCACTCAGCACGCGCCACCCAAGAATTGTTACAAAAAGGTTACAAAAAGGTTTCTCGCTTCATTTCCAGCGCACAATGGCCACCAAAATCTCCGGATACCAATCCGTTGGAATATTATGTCTGGAGTATTTTGGAAAGCAAGGTTGGCACTAAAAATACCAAAGTGTCGATTACCTCAAGCATGCGCTTCGCCGGAAATGGCCCAAAATATCCCAGAGCAACATTCGGGTAACGTGTGACGATTTCATTGGCCGTTTGTTTTTTTGCTTTCATTCAATAAAATTAAAAAAAAAGTAAATATTATTGCGTTTGACGTTGTTGCAGTTATTTATCTCATAGCTTCCATATATATCTTCGTGAAAATCTGTTCAGATATAGCTTAATCACCCACATATCGGGTTAATCCGATTTGCTATTTTTGTCGTCCGCAGCGGTAATGTGCACTCCATAACATCAATATTCGGGAAAATATATTAATATAGCTAAAAAGTACCTTCGCAAAATTTTATCGAGATTTGTTCAGATTTGAATATAGCTTCCATGCATATCTTTATCCGATTCGAAGTTTATTGTGCACCAAATGTTTAATATAAGCCTAAATTGAATGCATTATGGTAACAACAACTGAATTCAACCTGGAAGAAATTTTGCAAAATTTGATAAAAAAAAAAAAAAATCGGTTCAGAATAGGTCCCATACAAATGTTTGACCCAAATTTGCATTTAAGTCACTCACACCCTTAAAATGCACTCCACAACAACGATTATATGGTTGTTGAGCATCGCATTAACCGCCAAAAGACAACAGAGGCAATGAAATTATCTTAGCGGGGAACCTGACCTTTCCTCCTTCCAACATCTTTATATGAAAGGAGTGTCTTTGAAAAAATATCTGTGGCTTCCATTCGATTTCAAATTATAAGTGTTTTAATATGATAATTGGTATGATTTGCCTCACATGAATTCGTATAGCTCTACTAAATATGCATAATGGTGTAGAGTATCACAAAGTCGCACGACTTTTGAATTTTCTTGACTGGTTTTAACATTAAATATTATTTTTAAATGAAAATAACAAAAATTGGTTGATAGAAAATCCGCTATTAATTTTTTATTAAAATTTTATTAATTCTTATTTTTTCTCAGAATTCATACTTTTGTTGGCACTCTTTATGTGCGAATATAAGTTTATAACCAACTTAATTGCCATTTAAAATCAAATATTGTATTATACTCTTTTTTCAAATTTCCTTAACCACCATTAACTATTTTTTTCTTTCATTTTCAGACTCGAAATAAAATATTTTCGAAAATTCTTAGTCTGCAACCACCTAATATTCTCTATGGCTCTGGTCGATCACCGGCGGAATTATTAAAACAATCTGGTTTGACCCAAAGATGGGTAAATCGTGAAATATCGAATTTCGAATATCTTATGTATTTGAACACAATAGCAGGTAATTTCAATAAAAATAATTATTCATAATTTATCTTATGTATTTGAATACAATAGCAGGTAATTTTAATAAAAATAATTATTCATAAATTTATTTAAAATCCGAATTTAATTTTATTTCTGTTTCTATTTCCAGGTCGTTCATATAACGATTTAAGTCAATATCCAGTCTTCCCATGGATTTTAGCTGATTATACGAGTGATATTTTAGATTTAACAGATCCAAAATCTTTTAGAGATTTATCGAAGCCTATAGGCGTGGTAAGTATAAGCAAATGTGGCATGTCATAATATCAAATATGAAAAATATGCAGTTCGAGTTTGAAGATGAACCATGTTGGTCCACATTTTGTAAGCTCAGCTATCTGTTATTATAAAACAGCTTATTTACTTTTGAGGTCGACAACCGTGAAAAGACCATTTAAAGTACTGCTGTAGTTCATATCGGTCCGTATGCAGCTGTCGGAAGTCAGTGGTCCATTGTGTTCATACAGAAATTTTATGCAAAAGAAGAAGAAATATTAAACTTATGATAAAGTCGAAAGTACTGCTCAGATGTAGTTTCGACAAGAAGAACTTTGTATATACCATCACAGTAAAATCAATATTGCCGTGAGAGTTTGGACATAACAATGAACGATGCATATTAACCTGACTTTCTGCACTTATGTGCCTTATTACTTGAGGACACATTTGAAGATCCATCCTTTATACCCTACTCCCAGGCTCATTACGCCGTGTGGCTCTCTTCCAGTAGACGGGAAAGTATTTGAGAATTTGAAGTACAAGGATTTGAGTGGTTTGAGAACAGCCTACATTACCAACCATTTCATTTCCAGGCCATTTAAGCATTCATTGTCCTTGACTTTTCCGAAGAGGGTCAGATGTTTAACTTTTATCAAAACAGCAATTTTTGGTCCTCTAAGATATTTGGGCCATCGGTAAAGAGACGAGTATTTTCGGAATTTGTCCGCTCTGTCTCTACTCATTAATTTGTGAATATGGGTAATTATATATGGAAACTATATCCAAATCTGAACCGATCTCTATACAATTTAGCAGAGGTACTTCTATGCTAGATCTGATAGTTAACACCAAATGTCACTGTGGTGGAGAGTATTTTACGGGTGTGAGGGAGTAAAATATAAAATCGGATCAAACATAATTATGGAACCTATAGTATATGTGCCAAATTACATCCAACTTGGCCTAAAATTACACGTTTGCGCACAATAAAAGGCAAATCGGGCGAAGATATATATTGGAGCTATATCTAAATTTTGACCGATTATCTCCAATGTCAATAGGGTTCGTCCTTGGGCAGCTTGGCAGCTGTTGATATAAGTCATTCCTAAAGAACTAAGAAAATATAGTCATTTTCTCTACTCGTAATACAATGCATGACTTGCTGAGTATCCACTAAATAAGACCAGAATACACAAAGTTTGGGTATCCAATAAGACACTCAAGGTCACCAGAGGTCTGCTTTTACCTTATTCAATAATAAGAGCCGATGCTGCATTCATTAATTTGCTTACGTTTGCCACAACAAAGTCATTTACAAAATTTGTCAAAAGCAGTGAACATAGCATTAACCACCGGAAACTAAGCGGAGTACCTCTAGCATTGATTTCCTATACCCCACCATTCCCCCTTCACTATCTTTATGTGAAAGGTTCATCTTTGAAAAAATAGCTGTGGCCTCTAGACCGGTGTTCTCTCAATTCGCTTAATACTTGCTTTCAGTCTAAAGCAGTGAGAATCGCATTAACCGCCAGAAGACAACAGAGACAAGGAAATTATATTAGTGGAATATCTCTAGTATTGATTTCCCCTTCCTCCATCTATTCGCTTAATACTTCCTTTCAGTCTTTCTGATTTAGCTTTATAGCACGTTACACGAACCCTCGTTCACAATCCTCTGCTATATGCATCTCAACATAAGTGAAAAGGCTTGTTGCGAGTTTCCCATAGCATTCCTATTTAAGAGAAGAAACATTCTTCCGCCTATTTACAATTTTATACTGTAATCCTTGAAATTTGTGCGATCGACTTCTATCACTTTTTAATAATTTATTATCGAAAATTCCAAGGTTTCCACTACATTTTTGAACGATATTGACAGTGTCATCGCTTTTATCATGTATTCAATTAAAAAATTTGTTCTCATTGTTTTCCATTTTAATCCTCATGCGAATATTATCTCTTTTAGATAAATCCAAAAAATGAAGATGAAACACGTGCAAAATACGACTCATTTGAAGATCCATCCGGTGCTATACCTAAATTTCATTATGGTACACATTATTCAAATTCTGCTGGAGTTCTACACTATTTATTGCGCGTCGAACCCTTTACATCGTTGCATATTGAATTACAAAGTGGTCGATTTGATGTAGCCGATCGCCAATTTCATTCCATACCACAGACATGGAAACTGCTGATGGACAATCCCAATGATGTGAAGGAATTGATACCGGAATTCTTTTATTTTCCAGAATTTTTGAAAAATATGAATAAGTAAGTTATTGAATAGAATTCATCCACACAGAGGGAAAATTCATTTTATGTTATTAATTTCCCTTAGATTTGATTTGGGTCATTTGCAAATCACCAAGGAAAAAGTTGATGATGTTATACTGCCACCTTGGGCCACAACGCCCGAGGAATTCATAGCCATACATAGAAGAGCCTTGGAATCTGAATATGTTAGTCAAAATCTACATCATTGGATTGATTTGATATTTGGGTAAGAATAGTGAAACTTTGAAGACGGAACAAAACATAAGTATAGTAAACAAATCTCTTTAATATCAGCTACAAACAAAAAGGACCCAAGGCCGTCGAGGCCTTAAATGTATTCTATTATTGTTCTTATGAAGGAGCTGTGGATTTGGATAAGATCACAAATCCCGTGGAAAGAGAAGCTGTTGAAGGTAATTGTTGTGTTTCCACCAGTTTTGTTTCAAAAGTTTACATTTGTGTTTTCCATTTATTTATAGGCATGATAAATAACTTCGGCCAAGTGCCTTCTCAATTGATGCGAGAACCTCATCCACGCCGCCTGTCTCAGGAAGAAACAACTCTTAAACTTCTGAGAGCTGAACTCAAACGTCCAGATATAACACAGTTTTTGGACAAGGTTGTGCAATACTATTGCGAGATTTCAACTCCGAAAGATCCAATTGTCTATTTAAGTCCACCCAGATCACCGCCACGCTCATTTCTTCAATTGAGTCCCGACACCTTGATAAGCATTTCGAAATCATGTATATTGGGTTGTAATTCATGGATGGCGTATGATAAAGATCGAGGTTTTCTATTGGAAATCGACGCAACAACAACAAATCTGAAGTGAGTATAAGACAATTCATATAACCACCTACAACTTATTACAAGATTTGAATAAATTGCCGAAGATGTGTCACATATTATATGTCAAGATTTTGTCTGCTCCTGCAGCCACACCAAGTATTATATATCATATGCATGACGCAAATAATGACTATGTCGATCCAGATTTGCCTGCAGCCTTTATATATTTGGTATATCTCCCATAATTTTTGGTCCCGATTTAATTTAGTTTCAAGATTCTGGATGAATTCCCAATTGAGTTTTTTTTTCTTTTGTAAGTGAACAAGTTAAAAAGTATCAGTCGGTTATGCCGACAGATCTATACCCTCAGCCAATGTTTGATAATTAAATTAAAAGGAATGGGCCAATATCGGACCTACAAAAATATGATATAAATTTTGCGACGTGTCAGGTTTGGACTATATCGACTACTTCCTTCACTTTATATGAGATATGTGATGATTTTAAGAAAATGTTGAAATGTGCGTGATGTTCCAGATATTATCGACCGAAGTATTCCATTTTCGTACTTCATCTAATACAGATAAAAATCTTGGTGTGGGCAAAATTACAAGAAAATCAAACATTTATATCCAATTTTATGGGAAATCTTAAATTCGGTATTCATTTCAGGTTTCTGGTTAAGAGAAATATTTAGATATAGCAAGTTGTAAAGAATCGTTGACTTGTTTCGCAAGTCATGACAGATAAAAGTATTGAAAATTGTGACCCTTTGTGGGTGAGGTACAATCTTTACAACAGATCTAGTATGAGCAAAAATGTTTATATGTGTGAAATTTGTAGAGAGTTGGATACTTACTTCGTTGTTTTCGTTGTTGTTTTTGTAAAAACAACGTTTGTTTATTAGTGGAGAACGATGGTAATGTTTACCAGAGGGTAAGGCAGGGCAGGGTTTCGGAAATCCTCATCAGTTCTCTTGTTTTTTGACTGGGATATTCTCCCCAGAAGTTATTTTAAAAATATTCTATGACAAAAAACCGTTATTTCGATGAGGCACGTTTTGACCGTATCAAGTGGTATATACCCTCTCTAGCCATATTACTGAGGGTATAAAAATCCCGATGAACTCAATTATTGGAAGTTTTGCAGTCAACCGATTTGGATAAATTTAACTTATATTTTAAATTCTTTTTTAGAAATATAACAATGTATGTGGCCTAAGAGGTATAAGATATTGGCGAGATCCCCTCGCGTTATACGAAATTTTTGAGTTTTCAAAATATTGCGCACCATTTGAGTGTTATTAGGTGCCCCAAGCGGACGGATGAATATAACTAGATGCAAAAAAGATTTTATCCATAAAACAATTGCAGGCATAAGACTGATTGTATAATTTTTAAAATTGTTTACCTACCTAAAAAAATAGTTGATTGAAGATTGTTTGCATGATCAAAGAATCAATTCTCCGTTGTTACCAACTTCTGATACGTTTATATGTCAACTTTGATGGATTATCATCAGATTTGTCATTGTTCTAATATTTTCGTTCCTGTACCAAGTAATAATCTTAAGGGAATTTCACATTTGACACATTTTTTCTTTAATACATCTAGAAACCGCAAACGCATCTTTGGCCCCCTACATCCCTCACAAGCATCACATTCCCAAATGTTTGCTGTTAGTACGGATGGCAAACTTCTGTATGCCGGTGGTATATGGGACAACTCTTTGCGTGTTTACAGTATACACAAGGGCAAAGTTGTTGCTTCTGTCACAAGGCATTTGGGTAAGTCGAAGATCTTTGGAATATTACCATTTTAGCAAAAAAATTATATTCTACTTATTTTCAGACATAATCACCTGTTTGGCTTTGGATAATTGTGGTTCTTATTTGGTGACCGGGTCACGTGATTGCACCTGTATTATTTGGAGCATACAAAATTCACATTCTAGCTCTGGTCCAGCCACTTCAAACATACCCGTACATGCTCTTACTAGTCAAACAAATCTACAGTCAATTATACAACTTAATACACAAAATAGTTTTTCACCTAAACCCTTGACAACACTGTATGGTCACGATGACTCGATATCGAGTGTAGCTATTTACACAGAACTGGATATGGTGGTTTCGGGATCTTTGGTAAGTGGAAATATATATATAAATATGTCGATATTTTTCGTCAGGTATTGTTATGGGTTACTTTTCAATTTTTTTAGGATGGCACCGTTAATGTTTACACCATACAAGATGGACAATTTTTACGCACATTAAAACCAATTGGTTGTACTGAGTTTTGTGTACAAATTTCATATGTGACCATTTCTTATCATGGTAAGTAAATATATGACATGACCCAGAGCCAGCAAGGATCCTCCAATTTTACAAATATAAAAAATTGTATATTTTTTTCGTACCGAAAGGCACATATATTTTTTTTATTGAAAAATATTATTACTCATTGATTCTGCCTCAAAGTATGCTACATTTTTATGTGCAATAATAGTTTTGTTTTTATGTCATGATAGAAAAATTTATATTATGGGATATTTTTAAATGTATCATGGGATATTTTTTCCATCCTCCACATTAAGGAGCGTTAATTATTAGTCTACTGAAAATAATGATTTTGCATCTTAAGGTTAAATTCCATGGTGATTCCAACCGATTTCTTTACGTCACGTTTCAAAATTCTCAAAATTCATGCAAATTTTAATGGTCTCCCTTAGATAAAATCCCTTTCATTTTTTTAATAAACGGATAATACGAGTATGTAGTAAATAGCGAATGTGCATATTTTTATTTTTCGCAATTAATTCTGCTTTTGAACGGGGCATTCCCAAAAACGGAACTTGGTAATAAAAGTAGAGCACCATTCATCGATACTACAAGGTTTGATGTGTGACAAAATTAATTCATTACAATACCAAATAAATTTTTTTTTTTGATCTTATCTTGGCCGTATACGAAATTAAAATTGCAATGGTGTAGAAGCGAACTTGTGCCTTTAAAGATCTGTCGGGACTGCTTTATTACAACCCAAATTGGCTTTGGATGCTCATGATTATACTCTCAGCCATATGGCAACAGAGGGTATATATCACTTGATACGGCCAAAACGTGCCTCATCCAAATAACGGTTTTGACCCTAGGTCTCAAAGGGCCACAATTTCCAATATTTCCAATATTTTTATAACTTGCGAAACAAAATGGCCAGGCCTTTCTCTTTACCAAAAATCTCTAAATTTATGATTTTGTATAGTGGAATATTTTTGTTCAATATTTTTATCTGTATTAGATGTCCTCTATATGTGGTACCTCACACATATTTCCAAAAATTTGCACATGTTTTATATAAAGGTCAGATGCGAATTGGACAATATTGGCCAACTTATTCGGAATCTTCTCCATAAAAGCGTCAACAATCTCTCAGCAAAATCGACTAAAACTTTTAAACTTGTCTTGATGTTTTTGTCTTGTAGGAAAGGATGATTTTGTTTAGGAGAAGTACGCGTCACCTCTACAACCATAGTAAAATTAAAAAAAAATTCTCTAAAAAATAAACGATCAATATTCTAATGAAAATCGTCGCTTCAAAAGAATATACATCTATGTCGGAAACGGCATCAAATTTTAGAATAAGTTTTGATTTGTTCGAATTGGTCACGAATTATGGCCTTCAAACGGCCAATGAAACCGTCAAACGCTGCCCGAATGTTCCTCTGCGGTATTTTGGCCCATTCCCGGTGAAGCGCTTGCTTGAGATGATCGATACTTTGGTATTTTTTAGTGCCAACCTTGCTTTCCAAAATACTCCAGACACAATAGTAAAACGGATTGGAATCCGGAGATTTTGGTGGCCATTATGCGCTAGAAATGAAGCGAGAAAGCTCATTTTGTAACCAATCTTGGATGGCGCGTGCTGAGTGCGATGGTGCCGAGTCCTGTTGCAATGTCCAAGGTCTGCGGCCAAAATGTTTGCGTGCCCAGGGCTTTAATACACCCTCCAGAATATTTTCGCGATAATATTCGGCATTTATTCTGCTGCCACGGTCGATCAATACGAGCGGAGAGCGACCATCGGCTGTTATGGTGGCCCACACAATAACCATGGCCGGCGCTATAGTTCTGGTTGCCAACCGAAGGTGCACATTTTCAGCTGACCTCTTTGGCAAGTAAACACGATCATTTTGTTTGTTTACAAACTGCTGGACAACGAATGTTTTCTCATTGGAGAAAATCAAATTCGGCAGTTTACCACTTTCGGCCAAGCGAACCAACTCTTTAGCTCTTTTGAGTCTATTTTCTTTCTGTTGCGGTGTAAGTTCTTGCACTTTTCAATGGCTTTACCCCGAGCTCATTTTTCAATATTTGCCGAATGGAATATTTTGATATCTTCAGCTCACGAGCCATTTTTCGGCCCCTGCGATTTATTCGAATTTAAATGCTGGAGTGCTCCAGCCAAATATAAAGAAATCACACTATCACTCTTGAATTTCATCACGAATAACTTTTTTCTCGAAAATTGGTGAGAACCAAAATGCTTTTGTACGCTTGTAAACAATATAATGAGCTGTCATTGAAATAATTTTAACAGCTGTCGGACGAGTGTCCTCGAAATGACAGCAGTCTGAAGTTGGTTGCAGTTTTTCATCTCACCCTGTATAACGTTACCCACCGATATTCGGTATTTTGATAATATAAAATAAATATAATCATAAATAGAAAAATGTTTTCTTTACCCATTCTTTTAATATCGAGGGTATTAAATGTTCGGCCTGGCCGAATTTAATGCTTTTTTTTTTTTTTTTTTTTAAATTACTGATGTATGGATGGTATTCAAGGTTTGGCCCGGCCGAACTAACAGTTGTTTTACTTGTTTTTAAACTCTACCTTCAAATATATCCTCGTAATTATTGAAAAAATAATTGAGTTATGTCACACAGTGTTATTTTCAAAATTTGGGCCGTTTGTGGGAAATTTTCTCGAAAGATGTAATAAGTATTTCATATACATACAACATCGAATATTGGTTGAAATGTGTGGCAAATTGTTTTTCTATAATAGCTACATTTTTGTGTTCCTGAAAATGTTTCGAAAATAACTGATGTGTCAAAACATAAACAAAGAAATTTAGAATTCTGATTCACAGACCTGCGTTAATTCCTTTTTATCGACCCACAAAAATCTTCCCACGAGTCACACTTAACTTGTGGCCCTTCACAAGTATCAAAGTTAAAAAAAATACCTTCACAAAAAAGAAAATCAAAATAGAAGACAGGTGACTTTATGAAACACAATTCGATGATTATATTGCCGTTCCATGAGTGCTATAGATTACACATTTATAATCTTATCTCCCCCCTTGACGTCATTCGAAATAATTAATTATTTGCATATGCAGGCGTTTCTTTTCTGATGTGAAATGACTCGGTGCATTCCATGCTGCAATTTAATGTGGTACAGTGATAATGAAGTCGAATCCATATAATTTTATTGCAGCTGTTTAATTTATTGATAATTTTTGGTTTGAAACCATTTTATTTTATTGCCATCATCGAGTTATGATAGCTCCACTTACGACGCAGTTTACGTTACGTTTCGCCTTTTTTTTCTTCAATCATTTCTGACAGTCTTGATGATAAGAGCGGACATTTATGATTTCTTAATGAACCGTGATTTCTCAATCTGAACTGTAATGTGAATCGAATCGAATATTCTTGCAGTGAATTATCAAACATCAACCTTACACCGCAAAGTACGTTGATGATCGCGTGAGGATTTTTGTCTTCAAATAAAGCGACGGAGAGAAGGAGGGGGGTTTTTTATTTCTTTGTGATGGGCAATAAAATCAAAGTTATTTCAAACATACAGAATAAGAAAATTAATCAATTTTAGATTTAGTTGTGTGCGTTTTTGTGTTTGTAGAGGTTGGTCTTTCGCCTTATCTTGTGACAAACAATGATCGATGACTGCTGCTGGCTGGGTGGGTTGAATGAATGAGCGGCTCCCTGTTTTACATGACATACTTTGTCGATGTGTTGGTTTCTTTTGTTCTAAACGCCAACAACACCAACTGTGGTTATCAATTTTGGTGCAAAAGTCTCGTGTCTCCGACAGAGTACACTAGCTCCATCACGATTTCCTTTTACACTACTTGAACGATGACAAGGGTAGATTATAAATACTTAACGCGATATCGCAACACCACCTGTCCATCAGCCACTTCCTCACGATTACGATTACGATTTCAATTTCAAAATTGTAATCTACAATAACCGGTGTCCAATTTTATGCTTTGGCAGCAGTGTTTCTAGCTTCTTAGGCTTTTCCAATTAATTAGTCTTTCTATGAGTGAGTCGGCCACCTTTGTTTTGCGCATTTGGCAATTGCGTGCTAATTTTCTATTGAGATTCACATCAACATAAGTCGAAATAAATAGAATATCGTTGTGAAATCACTATTTCCAAGAATCGCCTATGCCTTGTGCAAAAAAATGTCGTCTATGTTGTGAAATATGCCACGCAATTTTAACACTGGCGATATGATATTAAAAAATATATAGTTTTCACATGGTCAACCCGTCGAAACGGTGATAAATCTATATGATTTATTTTTAAGACGTTTTTTAGACTTTGAGTTTGTTCTTTGGAAAATACCCTGCGATTATGTAACGTTTTTTAGAAAACACCTGTTCTATCAATTGCGCGAGGCGATGACAAATATATGGACTTAAGCAAAGCATTCGCTAAAACCCCACTCTCAAACTTTTTGAGATGTAATAAATATATATGTATAATATAAAGAGATGAATCGTGGGACAACTGTCCCCCGAAAATTAATCAAAATCACTCATTCAGCCACATCATGAATATCCCATGGAATTCTATTCCATTCGGAAACATATTTCTCGATACATGTTTTCTCCAATCATGAATAATTGGATGATTGCATCAAAACAGCTGGTGGGTCAATGAATTGTCAAATGTTTTTTAATGTTTCAAATTTTGAATGAAGTATTATTAATATTTGCTAAAGTTAATAAAAACAAGTAAAAAGCTGTAAATTCGGCCGGACCGAACTCTCTCTTGAATCTTAAAAATACCGAATGTAGCCGTTATATTAGGGTCTATACGGCGACGTGGACCTGCATAGACAATTTTTGTCATAAGTTTTGTTTTTCAAAATTTTGAACCCTATGTGGGGGTACCAGAATAAATGGTCCGATCTCTACCATTTTTATAACAAATCTTGTGTTGATAAAAATTGAGAATTGATTGAGATGTGCCAAGTCTGAATGGAATCGGATGTTAATTTCGTGTTTTATGAGCTTC